TCTAAAACTTTTTAATGCATCTCATCTCTCTATGCTTTTAGTGAAAATAGCATCATTGCACGTTACAAAATTTTGTTTCACATCATAAAAATACCATAATGGCTTCATTTTTTTCCCAAAAACTGAAAATTTGATGAAACTATATTTCTTTCAAAATGTTAAAGACATTGGAAATTTGAAAGTTGTGATAATTTTAAATCATGAAGTATTACTTTTTACTTTGAAACAAGTTAATCTCAGAAAATTATTAAAAAAACTAAATATGATACAATCAATTAATTCTAAGGCAAGAAGAATCTGAAGCAATTCTATATGAAATTTGTGTTAATTGAAGTATCCAAAATGTGAGAGAAATTAAAGCATTTGCCATCAATAAATACATACATACATATATTCCCTATAAATACATACACAGTTGTAATATTATTCTTGTTCACATCTTTGTCCATAGTCAACATCAACATAGCATATCAAATATTTGACATTGTCTACTAAATTATCAAATAACAGATAGAATTCATTATACTTTTCATGTTTAATGAAAATTGATTTCAATGCATACAATGCAACTTTACTCGATTTGACATGTATCAGCTCATCTTGCTCATAGTTAACACAATATTACGCCTTGTGTACTTAATCAAATTCATGAAGTTGCCCACAACTTTACCATAAGAAATTAATGACATCTTTCCTTTCCCGATGTCATCTATTGGACTTTTAGCTGTGAAAATTTTGAAATATGATATCAAAGAAGTCCATATTACTTTAGAATCTGCCAAGTCAAATCATGTGAAATACAGAATGTCTAATATTTGACTTAATTCAATCATAGCCTCTTGTTCCTCCAATAATTATAAATATTAATCTCTAATATACTCTTGAACTAATCTCATCAACTAGTTTTTGCATCTAAATGTTAGATTGATTTTTTGTCAAAATGAGCAAATCATTCGCATAAAATACTAATATCATAAGTTGAAGATTTTATCATTTACTTTATTCATATATACACAAGAAATATACATAGTCAGTGAAAGTATTTTTGCTTTCATCAAGTAAACAAACTTTACATTTCATTCGCTAAGTAGCTTGTATGAATCTATATAATGATCTTAGTAATGTACTAACCAACTTTTCTTGATCTTCCTTCTTAAAACCAACAAATTGTTACATGTAAATTTTTATACTCTAGGTATCTATTTAAATAATGTTATAAGTAGATTCAATTTATTCATAAGAATACTAAATATTGCTTCAATTGTACATACTCGACAAATTGTAGCTAATTTTGCTGTTTATGAGAACATTTTGTTGCAATTTACGGCAAGTTCTACTGCAAAATCTCTAACAATTAACTTGGTTTTGAAAATTTTCTTCTTGTAATTTGCTAGACTGTTTTTCAATTTGTACAATCATTTGTAATCAATCGAAGCTTGAAGCTTCACTAGCTTCAAAGTTTTTTTATGACATCTCACATTCCATTCAAGCTTATTGACAGAGGTTTGAGCTTTTTTATATTGTATATAAATTTTACTTGATCATATACATTACATTTCATGAAACGTTTGAATCTTAATTGATCAAATATACTACATTCTACAAGTTTGATCATATATCATAAACATTGAAGCATTTTGTATAAAAAAAATTGATTTTTTTTTCTAATGTAAACTATTTAAAATCCATACATCAACAACATGTTTTGATGAATTGCATATGGTGTACTTTTGACATAATACATAAGCATGATTAATCATAATACATTGTTCAACAAATCATACTCTTCAAAGTCATTTCTTGAAATACTTTGCTAAAGAAATATCAACGTCTTTGATTTTCACATCCAGTTATTTTTTATTTGAGCATTCTTATTCTAATTTCCAAAAAGATCACAGTTTTACTCTCTAAGGATTGGTATCCAGAATTGAATCTATCCTTAGAACCAAAATGTTTGCCATCCTTGTCATTTTGTGAATATGATTTATTTTCAATCAAATCCAATATTGTACTGGAAGAAGAGTATGGAAGAGATGACAATATTACTTTTTGTTGTAAGTTATAAATCAATAAAGCATTTATAGCTTTGTTATATATGATTGTTTGACTATCACGATGTCGTTAAATATTGCAATGTGATTAATTGAAGTTAAGCAATGGATTCAATAATGAAAAAAAATTTCTCTCATCAGTCATCTTTTTGAAGATAAATGACAAGATCATCAATCACATCGATGTATCTTGAATTTTTATGCCAAAATTTTTCATTTAAAATTATCTTCAAAGAGACATACAACTTGTTTGGCAACTATTTGCGATGTAATCTTTGTTCAAGAGGCTAAAACAATAGTGTATATTTGTATATTCATCCACTTGCTTCACAATCAAAGGTTGAAAATGAAGTATGATAATACTAACAATCTATTTTGAGAGGTGTTTCCAGTTTTTTTCATTGTAGGTATACGATTTCGGCCTCAAAGTCTTGCTTAGATTGTTGATCTTTATCTTGTACTTCACTTGTGTCTTCTAGAAAAGATAGATATCGAGTCGTTGTAGCCTCAACCTCTTGCTTAGACTCTTGATCTTCAGCTTGCTCCTCACTTGTGTTTGTCAAAGCATATAGATAATACATCATTGTATGTGGATAGTTTCGGCCTCAAAGTCTTGCCTAGACTCTTGATCTTCAACTTACCCGTCACTTGTCTCTCCCCAAGCAGATAGATATCACGTCCTCCGTATTTCATTATAACATATATTGCTACTCTAGATTTAATGGCTGTAATCTCATTTTTTCGAACACTCTAAGTTGCATCTTGTACCGTTGGAATAAAAAATGATTCATTTTCATTTAATTATTTATTCAGAAAATTGTTTACAACATTTCTCTCGTGTTTTGTGTGCAACTGCACATCTTCTCCTTGGACAACAGCTTAATTACTCCACTCTCGACAAAATGGTATAATCTCTCTCACATCCGGTTTGCAATACTAGATCTTTTGATTTCAAATCTTTAAATGGGATATCAAACTTTACATCAGAGTTTTTACTTGCATCTTGTAGTAAAGATCCCACAAAGTAGAAAAAACTGAATTTTCACTCGCAATGATAATTCACTCAGTACACTTCACTTAAGTAGATTCCAACAAAGAAAACCTTAATATCTGAAAACTATCACAGCGTTTCATTGGTTTGAAAAAAAAGAGGGAATAGTAAGACTTAAACAACTCCGCAGTGGTGTGTAGGATTTGAGTGAAATCACTTGCAACCTTCATGATTATTAAATTCAGAATGATATTTCTGTAATGGTAGACAGATTGAAAAACGAAACGATTGTATGTTCAACTTCAACTTTGGACGACTATAATTTCACTATTAGTCTGGAAAACCAATTCCTCCCTATAACCTCCCCTACGCTCTCTTACGCGTGAATTGCATCAGACTCCCCCCCTATCCAAAGAGAAAAGGCTGGCGAGAGTCGCAGAGATTGACTGTCACGTAGTCTTGCGACGGAGTCTTCTGACCTCCAGCTCAGAGGTCAACACTTTCACATCGCTCACATGAGTGATTGTGTTACAGGGGGTCGAGTAGCGGTTGGCAGGGTCTTGATATAAACGGAATCCCAAAAGTCGACGCGGCCGAGGCAATCTAAGCTAACGCAGGAGCGGCCGGTGTTCCCCTTGTGACCAACTTTTTCCTCGGTTTTGCATACGCATCTCGATCTGTCAGTCGTTGTGTGCGAATCGTTCCCGTAAGCCAGGTGTAAGCTTTATGTTGTATATACGTACTTGAGATTTAGACTTATTGGTGGCTGTTATGTGAACTATGATAGTCGTTCATTTTGAGAAAAGTTTGTCGTTATAGATGTGTATTGCTAAACTTAGCCAGTACGATTGGATAGGTACAGAAGTTTTGTAGAAGAACATATTCACCATTAAGACCTACCCTGTTCATTTTAACCCATATTTCCACTTGGAGGGGGATTTTTCCATCAATTTCGCTCTCTTACTACTTCACCTTACAGATGTAGACTTCTCAAGAGAGAATCAAAATCACTTCATTTCCATAGAGTTCCAACCATAATTGTTTCAATACTTGAATTTGTCCTCTCCTTGCCTGGGGCATGTTGCTAGTACATCATCTCATTGGCGCACATTGGAAATCACTTCGGCGAGGAAAGAACGAAGGGATAAGGAGAATCAATCTTCACATATATATATATGTTTTGAGATGACTTCCATTTCCACCTTTACACTCTGATACATTATATGCAAATGTAACGTGGGTGGGTGATAAGATCTGCTAAACGCAAGAGTGTGTTACAAGGATTGTGAGCAGAAGGGGAAATTGGGGCATCCGGGAGCTATGCCTCATGGTACACGCCACACGTGACGTGTGAAATTCTGTGTGCTGTTGTGGTTCTTGAGTCACAATCAGTGCTTAAGGATTTTTGCCAACACCACTGTATTCACAATATCAAACGTGGATGTTCAAATCTGTTGAGATGAGATTTATGGACTGAGATTCATTTCTGTTTTGAAAGGATAGCAAACGAACAAGGTTTCCAGTGGCCGCTTAAAAGCTGAAATATTAGCCATATGCGCATCAACACATGTAAGATTCTCGTTCACACCCTTCGAGAGTCGATCATGGGAACATGATCATAGGCACCACAATATCGAGGGTCGAATATCGAGGAGCCTGGCTTCTTCTAGTGTTTGGAAGTCTATGATCTACGGCTGGCTTTGATTTCAATACACATATTCCATGCGCGTCTCGGAATTTCCCCGCACTGACCTGTGACACGACGTGCTGAAATGTAGAGAAGACAAAGTCGATAAATGACAGACAGAAGGTTCGGACCCCGTAGTCCTACCGGGACCCAGAGAAGACAAGCACTGAATCCAAGCACTTCTCGAGTGTCTCCCTGTGCCTGTCGTACTTGGACATGTACGTGGGAGGGATATGACACTCGCAACATTCCCAAGGTGTCCACTCCATTTGCATCAGCATCTACTTCTCTTGAAGCAGGAAAAAAATTTATGATATCCATACAGGATTATTATACATCACCATCTCTTCTTGCAGGACAGAGGAATGGTCTGATTGAAAAACTTGATCAGCATATAAACTGCAGACACCAGTATTAGCCAGAAGACCATAGACCCCGGGCCCTCGCTGGGAGTTGCTACATGGGAAAATAAGAGAAAATAAAATATCCATCTGCATTTCTCAAGGCAGGAAAAATCAGATTATAAGTAAAGAGTTTAATATACATCACCTTATCTTCTCTTCGATATGAGACACAGCTTGAAGGGCGAAAGCCCAGAATGCTGAAAGCCACGACGGAGATTAGATTCCTTTCATCACAAGGAACACAAAGGCCTCAGTACTTTAGGAACTTAGTTTAGTTGCACACAGCCTCAAGGCAAGATTGATTGACTGCTTTCGTCCAGAGATATCACAGACACAATTCTTGGTGCTGGGAAACTCCAATTTGTGAGAAATCACACACGCTCCGTGTGGTTTCACGATCTAAGCTTTCTACATTTACGATATTCTACATCTATTATTACAAAATTTAATTCAACTCATGTCAAGGACACCCGATAGCTCCTTCGCCAGAGCGTGGGTAGCACGGCCCAGTCCTCTCGAGGTTGATCGATCGGGGATGATGGGGTAGGCTGGTTCGTGACTAAAATGAAAGCCATTCACGCAATCTTGTGGTGACGATACGCACCCGAGTGACGGACCAGCCGTTCAGGTCCAATGCACGGAGCAATCCAGTAAATAACGCGGCAGGAGTGAAACTTGATCCACTGGCCCAGAGAAACTACAACGACAAAGGGGAATAATGAGCAGTGAGCTCAGGAGAGGAAGAGAATTCCGAGATGGGATGATCGACTGAGGACAGCTTCAAATGGTGAGCATTGCCGATGAAGCCTACCCTTCCAACACATGAACATGGAGAGACCTGTTGTTCGGTACTTCAATTGAGGGCAGATCTAAAACTACCACAACTACTCCTACCAGAAACTAGCGAGGTATAATAAGCAGTAGGCTTCGCTAAGTGGATGACGCTTGCCCGCTGGAATGGTTGGCTGAAGTCTTGCAATTCAGAAGGGGCTTACGAGTTCAGTGTGGGCTTCGTGTGCTGATGAAGCCTGGCCTTGGAGAAGACTGCGAAGCACCAATCCTTGGAGGAATGGTTGTCGCTGCGGAGATCTTCCGGCATGCGCTAGTCCCCGACGGTAGGAGCCGAGAAACTCCCTGTAAATCACCAACACCTCCAGAACAGAAGCACACAGCGTCCATCGCGCGTCATAGTCTAAGACTCTGTACTGAAGCAGGTCCAGCGCAGAGAAGAGCAGAGCCTTGAAGAAGTAGCACAAATCTCTGACCTTTCGTCACACGAGTGATGGTGGTGGTGGTGTGACGAGGGCCCCAGTAGATTCCCCGAGAGCACACTGGAACCTCCTTCGAAATTTTGTCAACTGATGGAAGGATCAGTGCGCATGAAAAAAGAGCCCGTCGAGGCATTACGAGTGGTCAGCTTTTGTCCGAGCATCGTTTATTTACATATTCGGTGAAGGAATCCGACTGCTGCTGACCAAACGACGGTGGGGGCCGTGACGTGGGACGATGGACGAACCTGTCAATTGGCCGACTCAGTGTGCGTGCCGTGCTGTTGTTGGAACTGCAGACTTTGGTGGCTGCTTCGGATCCCTTGCCTCGAGACTTCATCCAGGTAGGAAGCCGTGCTCATGCGCGGAGTCGTCGAGCCCTGATAGCTCTTGTCCTCCGCCGTCGGAGGGTGCACGAACTCCTCGATTTCGTAGTGCAGCATGCTCGTGTACTTGATGCCCCGGAAGGCGAAGAATCCATGAAAGGCCTTCTCGTAGTTGATGAGCGTGCACTCCTTGCCGGCCTTCTGCATGGCCTCGCCGTATTGAATCTGCCTGTCTTGCAGGGGATCGCGCCCTCCGATAATCACCAGCATCCTGGGAAGAGTGAGCGTGGCGAAGGCCGGCGACTTGGGCCCGCACACATTGCAAGAAGGATGGTCGCGGTCGGATCCCACGGGCAGAAATGCCTTCCAGTACCAATCGGACTCCTTGAGATCGCACAGCTTGCCGTGCTTGAACCGAATCTCCGACACCGTGCGCTCCTCGCCTCCGAAGAAGGGCTGAATGAGCAAAATTCCGCCCAACACCAGAGGCGAAATGTCGCTGACGCCGGCCTTGGCCGCCACATGGTGCACGATGTTGCCGCCGGCGCTGTCGCCGGCCAGGAACACTCGAGAGAAGTCGACATTCGAGGGGAAATCCGGGTGCGGGGTGGAGACCTGCGATCGGACCCACTGCAGGGCGCTGAAGCCGTCCTCGTACGCGGTGGGGTGCTTCCACTCGGGCGCCTTGCGGTAGCAGACGGAGACGACGATGACCTCGGACATTTTGGCCATTCGCCTGCAGTGCGTGTCGTACTCCTTGATGTCGGGCGACAGCAGCACGAAGCCGCCTCCATGGAAGTAGATGATGATCGGCAGCTTCTTGTCGGGGTCAGCGTAGGTCGGCACGTACACGCGGCACCACACTGCCGTCGTCTGGTCGATGGTGATGTCCACGGACGACACTCCGTTGCTCGGCTTCCTCCTCGCCTTCGTGGTCCTCGTCACCGAGTTGAACAGGCGCTTGTTGATGGTTCCATTTTTTTTGAGCACTTTGAAAATCAGCAGCTTCGACAGCGTGGTGATGAACCACACGTCCAGCTGAAAACCCATATCTGGACACAACGCACAGAACATCGACACGCGGTGAGTGCCGGCCACACGATCCACGTCCTGTCCTGCCCTCGCGAGAGCTGCGAGCGAGTGATCGAGACACGAGAGAAATTTGACGCACAGGCAGAGAAGAGAAGAGAAGCGAAGCGAAGCCAAGACAAGAGAAGAAGAGAGACGAAACGTGGACAAGGCCCAAGCAGCAGCAACAGCAGAAATGCAGGCGCGACGACATACCTCCTAACATGGCACATTTGAAGCAACTGTTAAGCAGATGCCTGCATGGAGTCAGAGGAACAACATACCCACCTACGAGACTCATTGCGGGACTCTTGCAATTATTCAGAGAGAGCGAAGAATAAGCTCAATTTAGTTATTACGCACGAAGAAGAAGATCAAGGAACAACCAAATGGGAGGGGAAATACTAATCTGAGGGAGAGGGAGAGGGAGAGGGAGAGGGAGGGAGGGAGGGGGAAGGGGAAGGGGAGGGATGTCTGTGAGATTCACAGACGGGTCGACCGATGGGAGCACTCACTCTTGAGAATCCATAGGGGCGCGGCAATGTAAGGCCTGCGTTGAATCTGTGAGCAAATTCCCATACCTTCAAGAACTGGAGCGCAGAATTATCTATCAGGCACTCAATTGAATTGAGCGATGATGAATATAGACTTTGAAGAAGAAGAGCCTCGCTCCCTTATTCCTGCAGCAGCAGCAACAGCAACAGCGGCAGCGGCAGCAGCAGCAGACGACGACCGCCCTGCCACGACAAGCAAGCTAGACTGATGTCACGAATCTCAAGCATATTGAATTGAATCGAACAGTGACCGTAGGGATGACACACACTCGCGCTCACTCGCCCGCCCCAACTCCTCGTCCAGACAGACAGACAGACAGGCAGATGACACTACTCACAGCGAATGACGCAGCTCAACTGTATTTGCCCAGGTCAGCCGCCCCGCGGGGAGCGGAGGAGACTCGTCTCCGATGCTTGCTTCTTGCCCGCTACGCTTGGCTCCAGATCGGCCCGCCCTCCATCGCTGCCTGCCTTCCTTCGTTCCTTCAACCTCGGGCTTCCCACTTCCGCTCTATACCATTTATAGCACAGTGGACATGAAGACCGGACGCGCTTTCCTACAAATACCGAAATCCTACAGTGCGCTCGCGCCCGGCTACGGCCGCCACGCTCACCCGTCGTCGTCGACTGGCCATCTGCTCGGCTCGGGATCTGTGCTGCTGCTATATGCGCCCGCTCAGGTCCAGATCATCGCCCCGCTCTCTCGCCTGCGCCATGGCACGGCTCGATTTGCTCCGCCTCTGCGCAAGTGCGGAATTTCTCGCGCTCCAGGTGGACCCGCGCCTGCCCCTGCCCGCTGCTTCCCCGCTCCTGGTACTGCGGCCATACGTACGCAGCCTTTGTACTTTGTTGCTGGCTTCTGCATCCCCTCCTCCTCATCGGCCCCCCTTCGGAGAGGCATGGCCTGCCGGGGGCCCTTCAGGGGCCTGGGCTTGAAGCTTGGATTCTGGGCTTGGGCTTGGATTTGGGCTTGGGCTTGGGCTTGGGTTAAAAACGAGTCAGGGCTCTTGGGTACAGTAGTCGGAATTGGAAAGCTGCGCTGCGACTCCAGTCCGTAAGTCCCGAGAGAGCCCTGGGGCCTGGCCCATGCCCGGTTCAGATGGTCGACCTTATCCGACCTTGTCCCACCCTAACGATTTCTCCTAGCCCAGCCCAGCCCCCACGCGTAGCCACTAGAATGCATTCCATGCACCCTCCTGTGACTCCTGCCCTTTAGCGTCCCCCCCAGCTCCGTCCCGTCGTCCGGGCGTCCGACCGGCTGAGCACTTCCCGTCCCGTTCTCACCAAAGCGAGACAGCGACAGAAGCGCCCACAAAGCGCACTCGATCGGGAAAGCTTTAGGAACAAAAGCTTGCCGGAACCGGAGGCACTGGTCCCCAGGCACCTACGAACGATGCGACCGTATACGGGGAAAATGTCCCGACGGGAGCACGGACGGTCGTCCCCAACGTCCGTCCGAGGTGACGGGAGGGCCTGGGGTTAGGGGGGGGGGGGGGGGGGGGGCAAGGGAGGAGGAGTGTGTAAGGGGGTCCGATGACTCATCGCCGAGAGAAGCACTCTCCTCTCGTTTCGTTACAGGCGCGCGGTCCTGTGACTCCTGTCATGTGCCGATCTATCTCTCCCCAATCCGCATGGCCCGCGGCAGGCGTCCTTGTCCCCGTACTGTAAGTATACACCGGGGGGTGCAGCAGAGAGAGAGAGAGAGAATGCGCGTTCTGCTCCCCGATGCGAAGAAGCGCAGGCCCACCGCCCTTGGGTCTCCGGGGGTTCTCGAATCTCCTGCGCGCGAGGGGTGGCGGAAGAGCTTTCTGACTTCCATCTACTCTCTTCTCTTTTTCTCTTCTACAGAACTCCCGGACGCGCTCCGACCTGCTCGCCAATTCAGCGAAAGTCTTGTAGGAGTCCACCACCTTCTCTCGCCCTCGCCCTCGTCTCGCATGACAACACCCGCTCGCACGCACTCGGTGGCACTTTTCCAGACCCGGACGCTTCAGTCGACGTACTATTACCGGTATAATCTCGCACCCGAGCAACAGGAGCTGTAGAGCTGGAGCTCAGCGCGGCATGTCAATGTTCGAGCCGAACGGCGCTGTTGGTGGACCTGACCGGAGCTGAGGAGCCATGAGATGAGCTCAGCTCGGTTCATACCAGAGTTCGTCTTGGAAAGATCTGAACAGGACGTGATCCTGGTCAGAAGTGCTGATGTGAACTGAATGTAGGCCGGAGGTGTGATCCGCGAGGGAGGAGGCCATGGGCGCCATTGTCGGTGATCATGAGTCTCGTCGTTGGCTTCGAGGGCTCGAACTCGATCCGTAGATCGATCGAAGGGGGCTTAGAACTTCAAAGGTGACGGCGGCCTCAGTCAGCGGACTAACGTGGTCATAGAATAATATAATGGCCCGCCGTATGTTGCATACTTTGGTGTACGAGATTCCTCATAATGACATACGATTCCGTATCACGGCATGGAGTATAGGTGGGGTGGGGGGATGCAGTGAGCTTAGAAATTGGAATCAACGATGCGTGTGGTGATTTGTTTCGTACAGGTTCTCATGAGTGTCCTCACGGGCTTGAAGGTGGAGTGAACCTACACCATCATGCTCTCAAGCCATTGATAAACTTTCCTTAGTCGACTTAGATTGCACTGCACTGCGGTCGAGATCCCAGATCTGAGCCATGGGTGACTTCTGCCATTTAAGGTCGTAGGGAACTCTCTAATGAATCCAATCAGGTACTGAAAGCCATGAATGCTGGTGAGCATCATCTGAGCCATGTGTGATGGCCATCGCAATTGCATCGGGCTCGCTTCACAGAACTTTCTCCAACCATAAATTTCTAGGGATTTGTTGCCTTTACCGAACGATAATTGGGATTATTCCTCCAAATGCAAGGACGTCCTAATCATGACTTTCCTTCTTCCTGTAAAGATTGCAATCTTCTGCTCCAGACACTTGAGCGAGCTTTCTCTACTTTACCAAACCTGCTGCTGGAATTCGGTGACAGTCCATGAACTGTGCTTTGTGGGAAAACTCAAAAGCGTGTCCGAACTAGACAGCTCCAAGTCACTGACCTCAGCAGCAGGTCTCCAATCTGGTTCCAAAAGCCAGAGACAGTAAGAAACCGAACGGATATGTATGGAAGTGGAGGACAATACGGCCATGCTCGAGGGGACCACTAACTAGTGCACAAGGCGAGTCCGCTTGTCTTTTACAGCAAATGATGCCATTCGGTCCGGACCTTCGCTTTGACTCAACGGAACCGGCGAGCTGCAGATTCATGGCCCCAACTTCCCCACGAGGATCTTGCATGTTGACAAATCTCGATCTCTCGCTCGCTCGCTCGCTCAGTCATCATCATCATCGTCGTCGTCGTCGTCGTCATCATTCATGCGCTTCGCTTTGTCGCACGATCCGATCGGAGCTTCGATCAAAGAGACCGAACCCGGATTTCTACTTTGGCGAGTCGGTGAAAAAGCGACATACGTGCAAAACTATGAGGACGCGCTAGCTTCTTTGCAATTCCGACTGCAGCCACTGACGCTGTAAAGAAGAGCATCGGAGATGGCTTTAGGTTCGAACGATGGGTGGGAATTAAGAGTTTTAGGCTTTCTATCCCCCGTGAAATTCTCTCTCTTCGTGGATGCCTGATTGGTTCTCGTGTCGTCGGGAGCTGGCTCTCGAAAATCCTCGTCTCACTGGTCGACCACCGTCGTAGTTCTCGTGAATCATTGTTCTGCACTGATTTTCTGACTGAGACGACTTCGTTTCTCCTAATCCACTGACTGACTTCCGACATGTGTAGCTTCTCTTCCTCTGACTTTCCACCTTCAGCATCTCCCGCCATTGTTGGATATGTTTGGTTGGGCTGTCAAAAATCCACCGAGTGACGAGACAGGTCTGACACCTCTTCGACCCGACGATTTGACTCGGACAGGCCAAGACGGGAGATTTCCAACCCACATACATGTTGACCCCCGCTTGGCACCTCGTGCTACTTTAAGCTCTTGTGCTACACTGGCTACCGAATTTGCACTCGAACAAATCTTGAACTTATTCAACTCGAGAGTGGGCCAGCTATGGGACCCTGCCCTCATTGTGCAATCGTCCAAGTGCAGAGTGCCATTTGGAAGGCTCGGTTGAGATCCACAAAACTGATCAAGTTTCATGGAAGTTTTACATGGCATAATGTCGCCTTCTTCTGGAGGTTGATATCATGCTGAGGATTACTGTCCACCCTGTGACACTTTGGCACATTAAAAGGACCCCTCGCGGCGTGAGCACGAGATGAGATGAAATGAAGTAAGATGCGAAGGAAGGTTAAGGAAGGAAGTTCTAAGCGCAAGGATTTCAATGTGTACGATGGATTCGAAAGAGTTAAGAGCTATCCAAAGTAACCCTCGGCTCGTCGCTCAACTAAAGCAGCGCGACGGTGTCCTCGATCCAACGTCAAAGAGGTGGCAGGTGCCATTGACTGGGGATGTCTCCATATCCACAGCAACCGAGGATCGAGCGAGGCAGGTCAACTGAGGTACCCGAGGATTTGGACCTTTTGCATTGGCGCAGGAATGTGGTTAGAATATTTCTACTCCTACTCACCATCCTCCATGGGTGGACAAGATATCGAGCAACCTGCAGCTCACCTGCTTCTTCTCAACACCTTTTTATTCCGAGGAGATATTTCCGAGCTCGCCCACAGATACGAAGCTCGAAGGTATTCATGGAACACATTTCATGAGATCTCTTCCTCCAAGGGCAAAGTCATTTTTGACAACAGATGTCATATCTTTCCCAAACTCAACCTCAATATTCCTCCTCTTTCTGAGTCTCCTATCTGACTCTGTTCTTTTGTAGATTAGCGTACTCTTGCAGTTGGAGTATGGAAAAAATAGGTTTATATCACGATAAACTAAATAGATAAAAATTGAAGAGTTTAAGTCAACCGTGAATAAAATGATAAATATAGCATCACGTACTTCTGGCCCACTGAAAAAAAATGTCCAATGAAGCTTCTTTCATGTTGGCAAAATGCAGTCGTAGTAGGTGGCAATAGAAAGTCTCCAGTAATTTGTATATACAGAACATGTACGTTCTTACTGAAACTCAGTCAGCACTCGAAACCTTGAGTTACACTTGCAGTTGCAAGCATCTGAACAAAGTGAACAAAGACCGTGCCAGTGAAGTTTCTCTTGAGACCGATCACCTTTTGCCCACTCTTTTCAGAAACAAAAGACATGTAAAATCAAGGAGAATACGAAAAGGATCAATTCATCATCTCTTTATCTACTTCACGTCCGCTGCGGGTTCGGGAGCTTCTCACATGCGCGGATCCTCATTTCTGCATTAAATTATGTACAAGGTTGTGGAAACAAGACGAGCGCATCGATCCAAGCACAAGGTAACAGACTGCCTACGGTTAACTGAAACAATAGTACGTGAGACATTAGTTGTCACTACCGTCACCTGCGGCTTCCTTCAAGAGTGAATGTCACCTGGGCCCAAGTCCTGAAACTCATTTTCGGAAGCTACGGATATGAAACGGGGCCGAGCCACCAATTTAAACCCTGGCATGTGCTGTTTTTTTCAGTCTGGTACGAGAGGGATGGCCACCATGGCACATGGATTCGGGCCCAGCCCAGGGCCTTGTAATTTCATCCATGAACACATGGATGAGCTAAGAGAGAAGATTCTCCGGGTTTGGCTGTTACAATGTTCGTTTTGTTACACGAGAATGTTGGTCTCCTTGGAGACCGGCCGGTTTTGGGCCCATTCCACGTCAGTTTCAATCATCATACCACTTCTCCACAGCAATAGCAGCTGCAGGTTGGTTGTTGGTCTATCCACATAGCTCGGTCAAGGCTTCATCTGATTTTGCATGCGACACATTGTACAAAAATACGTCAAATAGGCATGTGAAGAGTGTTCAAATCACTGGGGTCATAACACTCCTTCATAGCAATAGCAATAGCAATAGCAGCAGCAGCAGGCCTCTTGTTTGTCCATCCAAATAGCTCCATCTGATTTTGCATGCAGCACTTTGAACAAAATACGTCAAATAGACATGTGAAGAACCATCGAAGAGTGTTCACGTCACTGGGGTCATAACACTTCTTCATTGCAGCAGGAGGAGGAGGAGGAGGAGGCTGGTTGTTGGTCTATGAAGATCCCGTCAAAGCTTCCTCTGATTTTGCATGTAGCACATTGTTAAAATATGTCAAATAGACATGCGAAGATTCATTGAAGAATGTTCATATCACTGGGGTCTTGTACTTGACGCTAAGGAGGCCAAAGCTTTTTCATTCTCTTTTGGGCTTTTGAGCCACCCAGCATTTCTCACTCGATGAGGATGATTGAGTGAGCGAGTGACAGAGTGACAGAGTGAGAGGGACCCAATGCTGCAGACGTCCTTCGTGCCAGAACATTCAATGTCCTTCAAATTTGTAAAAACAGGCAGTCGTGATTCTTGCACAACTATCTTTTGCCCGACCGAAATGGGGATAGTGGACACTTACGTCTGTCTGAAGACTTCCGTAATTTTGACATGACCCAAAAGGTAAAGCGTATCAGTGCAATCGAGGCAGACACATTTTTTTGGGATGTTGATCGTTAATCACAGCATTTTCATATTGCAAGTCTTAACTTGTAGACTCGACTTTCCAGATTTTCCAGATGCCAGAATATGCCCCCAGGACTTGGGAGGTTGTGTTTTTCATGTGCTCAATTTGAGCGGTAGAAGTTGATAGGTCCCATTGATGTTAGTGATGATTTCATCGAGATTTACATGAACAGAGGATAGGGAAAGTAGAGGAGGCGTATACCAGCACACCAAGTCTACCCAAAAGCATCATGGAGATGATGATTGCACATTCGTACATTAACCTCTGTGTGTCACTGAACCTGAAGCTCACGCTGGTTTCATGTGGTTTCCCGCAGAAGATGACATGCGATTTTTCTGTACAGGATTCGAGTTCCAAGACGCCACAAAGTTCACCTGGAACAGGGGCTCCTTCATTCATGATACCTACACCGGCAACCATTCGGGAGAAAAGTTGCAGCGAATGTGGCCGACTCGTGCTCTTTTCCACGATCCATACATAATGTGGACGCCCAAGATTCAGTTCGGAGAATACTATGATCACTTTCTATCCGAGCGCTGATTTGTTTATTGTTGTCGAATCCACTCCAGACAAAACTGCCTCGAGATGGCATGACAAAGATATTTCGGTCGACAGTTGGGACCTACACAAGGCTGGGCACAAAAGCATCAGACAAATGTCGAGAGGCTCTTCAATGAAAGGTCTGGTGCGAATGCCATCAGTCCTTCATTCAAAATAAGATCATGTCGAGAATATGATAATTATTATATTTGATTCGAGCCGCCCATCCATCCATCCATCCGTCTATCAACCCATCCATAGTAACAGTCACTGCACACGACCCGGTGTTGCATCAGCGACACTGGCGCTAGCTTTTGTTGGGATAAGCTGGCGGTAGGGCGCTGTTGCAGCAGGACGGACTCGTAGCTTATGGTACTGCACCGCATCTCAGCTTGCAGAGGACGGCATCTCGCGCAACCGTGGTGCATGTGCAACGAAGCATGTAAGCTCGGACTGCGCGTCGACAATCTGATCTGCTTTTCAGTGCCTAGAGCGTCCTGCATCACACCGCCAAAGAGCCTCTTTCCATAGGATTTAACGAGAGCCGATGCACTACAAAAGCACCCACTGCGTGTTGCAGGACACGTACGAGCGGCAGGGTTACCTACACTGGCTTTCTGATGGATGGAAGGAGGAGGCATCGAGTCGATCGAAGAGGGTGGGTACGCCATACGATATCGAGCTGAATGTTCTCGTTCTCCTCCTCGTAGACTTGCAGTATCTCACTGCACTTGAGTGTATTTTACTCCAATCTGTCTGGCAGAAGCCATTGGCCGAGCAAGCTTTCTTGCCTGGCCCAGAACCATCATTGATCTTGACCAAATGCCTGTCCTACCTCTTCCTCGCGAGGTACCGGCGTGTGTGCCCAGCTCCATCTCCCGGACCGTCAACATGCCGTGGCGGATCAACATCGAAGGTTGAATACATGTATACGCACAGCTGATACATATTGCTAGAATACACCACATGCGTTCGCCACTTTATCATCGTCTCATCTGGTAAATGACTCGGATTCGACCATTCTCGACCAAACATTTGCAACAATGTTTGTGGCAGCTTTCCACGTGGTGGAAATGGATGGAAGCCTTTCCACCTGACCTATGTAAGTTCTAAAGGGCTTCGTTTTTTGGAAGGATATGTTTCTGGTACGAGGCTGGAAAGTGTTCCAATTTGGCGATGACGCATTTCATTCAATGCAGTTTGCAGTCCGATTCATCTTTTGGATTGTATTGATGGCCTTCCGAAGTGAGGTCACAAACGGGGACGAAGATGGAGAACAACCTCAAGCTGATGTGTAGCTAACTTGCTGAGGCCAACGAACAAACGAAAGATAGTCACCTCCAGTCCACTCACTGCAAGCTAACAATCAACTCCGCAGAAATAGCTGCACATAATCTGAATTGACCATGGCACGAACATGAAGCCGACAGTACTAAGATCCTGTGACCGATGATGTGCACGCCAGTGGATAGGTCTTCCTGAAACATGTGACTTTTCTGCGCGATTGATGCCACACTGCATTCAATATCTCTGCCTTGATTTGAACGAGCAGTAGTTTTTTAAATAAAGGCAGGAACGGACGATCGTCACAACTCATACAACCAGGCCACTAGCTATGGGGTTTTATAACATATTCAAGGACATATGTAGCCCATATTATATATTGTGATGCGATGGGGGTTGACCCTGTGAGACTTGTTGGGGTCTTCCCATCCGTTCTGCATTTTTTAATAACTCGGTGACTCCTTTTTGCTTTACCAGTCGTTCTATGACAAGCAATCACATGTTTCAAGATTACCACACTGCCTTCATGACTGCTACTACTACTTTAAACGCACAGTACTTATGAAGATAAAGGCAGAAGCACGGACGATTGTCATAACCGATAAGAATATTGAACAAGTAGCCATGGGTTTCTAGGAATCACCTCATTAACAATCAACTGTAAGTCCGTTAGTTTTCTCTCAATGTGGAGTGGGAAAAAACAGTTTAGTAGAGAACTCTTCTGTCGAATTCTCACATGCCGTATACAGATAACGATCACACTGCCCGATCAGAGGTGGAACGGCCTGGTTACAGTATACAAGCCTCGGAGCTCAGAGCTCGTACAATACAGTCCTGGAATGTGACAGTGATGTCACATTCACTTGTGACATCACAGTGGAATGCGGAACCTTCTCGCTTCTCTACGGTACTCTGCTGGCTCATGGAACCAGATCTCGTCTACGCATACTCTGAGAAGACATGTTGATCTAGTGGAGAGAGAGTGAGATATTTTGAGGACCGTCAAACACTTGCCGGGACCTCCATAGCTACGAGCAGTAGCCCAATTGACTTCGATAATAAGTCCATTTAGTTAGGCAGCTCCGATGTTCCCTTCGAAATCACACCCTAGTATCAACAGTGGACTTCAAATAGTCAAAGTAGGAGGGAGGTGAGACGAGATGACAAAACCTGGCAAGTGTCACCCGGTGACTGATCGAGTCTGCTCCAGCAGACGAGTTGCCCTAAAACTCGTACACTACGAGGAGCACCGTAGGACGAAGATCGGTGGACTTTGACATTGCCTCCGCCTGATCGGATCACCATTGCTTTCGGTTGCACGAGCACTTTATCAACCGTAATTTCATTTGGCGTGGTCGTTTCTCGATTCCTGCGAGCAATTGGAATCAGATCCCCAAGACTTGCGTTTCATCGCTAGAAAGCTTGCCCCTTTGCACGATCCATATTCTCCTTACCTTAAAGTGCTCAGAAGCTTCGTTTTGGGATCCGCTCCCCCTTCAAGTAAGCGCATTCAACATCATCGTGTCGCGATGAGCAAAGCATTTCATTCTCCTATCTTTTCCTTTGCCTCGTGCGAAATTATGTTCAATAAATTGGAAAGGTGTAAGTGTTTTGATTTAAGCCATTTGATATGTAGAAATACTATTTTAACATAATGGACCTAAAGTTAATGTATAACACTTGACAAGTTCAGATGTTGCATATCCAACAATAGATTGTTGGAGATGCAACTATCTATTGAAGCAAATGCAGCCTTGTTTCTGTCTCTCCATCCCTTGTAGTTGTTCTTATTATATTTACCACATTCTTCTTGCCAATCATTATACATGGTGCTTCTCATCATCTTGTTTCTCAGTTTACTAAGATGACCTCCTTCGTTACTCAAATTATGACTTTTTTAAGAATCTAAAGTTCTTTCAAGATCATTGTTACCTGTATTCATCAAAGATCTTTGATGGAGGAGTTCTTCAACTCGAACATCAACGGTTAATGATGTATCGACACCTCCATCACCATTCCTTACCTTCACCCTTGAAGTCTCTATCATAACATTTTACTCTCCATCCTCCTCTCTCGATGAACTGTGTCCAAACCATAGCTTATTATTACCCTTTGTTTTAAATTACCTTTGTCTAATCTTTGTTTCTCATTTTCACCTACCTCTACATCCTCCATTGGCTTCATAAGTCTCCTGAGCTTGATTAGAAGCTTCAACATTAGTCCTACCATCTTTTTCCTCCTCGATTGCTTTGATTTTTACATCAATTCCTCGCTCAATATTCCTATCAACTGTCTATTTTTCAATACCAACCTTTTCTAGCCCAACTCTCTAACACTCCAAGTTTTATCCCATATTCCTATCAACTACCTATTGTTCCATACCAACCTTCTCGAGTCCAACTCTCTAAGATTCCCAGTTCTACTCCATACAAAATGAATCCAAATGAATTGTTGCTCTACTATGTACTTCTTTACTCGCTCTATCAGTTGTTAGATATTTGTTCACATTAATTTCAACAAGAGTGCGGATTCTCAAATAATACATGAGCTTGGTCACCATACCAAGCTCGTTATGACTCCAAGACTTAGAAGCGTACTTTATGATTCACTGCTTGATGGTATCAAGCAAGTAATTGGTACTAAAAAACCTGAGGGAACTACACATATGCATGTGTAGTTCTACACATGCATATAGCAATGGCAAATATAACAATAATATAGCAATACAACAGCTTGTTTATCTTGCTAGTTTACATCTAGCAAGATAAACAAGCTAGAAGTACAATAATATAACAATAGCAACTCGTACGTTGATTGAATGTCCCGCAATTGATAAGAAATTTTGATTATATTAGCTCAAAAAGTCATCATCTTCCCATATTATATTCACAAGGTAATCAATTGTACGAGAGGAATATGAGAACAACACTGGGAAATAGAAGTCATTGAAAGAAAATATTGATAAAAATATGAGAGGAATAGAAGAACACCATTGGAAAAATAGACTTCATTGAAAAAATCTATAGATAAAAAGTTGTTGAAAGAGATGTTTGCAAAGATATTAAGTATCAAAAATTCCTTGCTACAAGTGAATGAGTATGAAATATCCACGAAGTTCCGTTGTAAGATAGCGGGTTCCAACAATTCCATCATGATGATATATAATTGATTACTCCATTCTTAGAAAAAGGAGTTCTAATCATTTCATCATGATGATGTATCATCAGACATGATTATATTAGTCGTTCGACTTAATTACCTAATTTAGTTTAATTTAGTCACCTTATGAAAATAAATGTAGGCGCTTTAGTGCTAAAGATCGCATTGAATGTATTTGAGAGCGAGTGAGTAGTTTGGAGGTAAAGGAAGAAAGACTCACCATAATGCGGGGCTTGTAGTCAAGCTGTGAGTCTCATGGGCGAAAGAATTAAATTTACAAATCTTGGATTGCAATCCGGTGAACTATGAAACCGACTTGGTAACAAGCTAATTCACCGTTGAAATTTTCCACATTTCAATTCCGAATCAATCACAAACTAGATGCTAAGATTAATTTGGCTGCTATATCACTTAAGTAATTTAGACGCATCCATATACGATCGTCTAAGATAATCATGCATGTGTATCATTGATTGTTTTGTTGTAGAAAAACAGTATCTAATTATTTGATCATGATGATGTATCATTGATCGTTCAGTTGTAAGAGAACGGATTCTTACGATTCTACCATGATGATGTATCATTGATCGTTCCGTTGTAAGAGAACAGAATCTAACGATTCTATCATGATGATGTATCATTGATCATTCTGTTGTAAGATAACGTGATCTAACGATTACATCATGATGATGTATCATTGATCTTTTCCATGTAAAAAACGGGTTCTAACAATTTTATCATGATGATGTATCATTGATCAATCTGTTGTAAGAGAACGGGATCTAACGATTACATCATGATGATGTATCATTGATCGTTCCCTTATAAGAGAACGGGTTCTAACGATTCTATCGTGATGATGTATCATTGATCGTTCCCTTATAAGAGAACGGGTTCTAACGATTCTATCGTGATGATGTATCATTGATCGTTCCCTTATAAGAAAACGAGTTCTAACAATTACATCACAATGATGTATTATTAATCGTTCCCTTTTATAAGAAAGTGTTCTAACGATTTTATCGTGATGATGTATCATTGATCGTTCTCTTATATGAGAACGGGTTCTAACGATTCTATTGTGATGATGTATCATTGATCGTTCCCTTATAAGAGAACGGGTTCTAACGATTCTATCGTGATGATGTATCATTGATCGTTCCCTTATATGAGAACGGGTTCTAACGATTCTATCGTGATGATGTATCATTGATCGTTCCCTTATATGAGAACGGGTTCTAACGATTCTATCGTGATGATGTATCATTGATCGTTCCCTTATAAGAGAACGGGTTCTAACGAAATTATCGTGATGATGTATCATTGATCGTTCCCTTATATGAGAACGGGTTCTAACGATTCTATCGTGATGATGTATCATTGATCGTTCCCTTATAAGAGAACGGGTTCTAACGATTCCATCGTGATGATGTATCATTGATCGTTCCCTTATATAAGAACGGATTCTAACGATTCTATCGTGATGATGTATCATTGATCGTTCCCTTCTAAGAGAACGGGTTCTAACGATTTTATCGTGATGATGTATCATTGATCGTTCCCTTCTAAGAGAACGGGTTCTAACGATTCTATTGTGATGATGTATCATTGATCGTTCCCTTATAAGAGAACATGTTCTAACGATTCTATCGTGATGATGTATCATTGATTGTTCTCTTATAAGAGAACGGGTTCTAACGATTACATCAAGATGATGTATAATTGATCATTACTTTCTAAGAGAATGGTTTCCAACGATTCTATCGTGATGATGTATCATTGATCGTTCCCTTATAAGAGAATGGGTGCTAACGATTATATCACGATGATATATCATTGATCGTTTTGTTGTAAAGGAACAGACTCTAACGATTCCATCATAATGATGTATTATTGATCATTATGTCGTAAGAAAATGGATTCTAACGATTTTATCATGATTATGTATCATTGATCATATTTTGCTTAATTTTGAGATGAAGAGTCTGAGCTAATGCAATTTGTATATTAGTAAAAAAATTTGTTGAATTTGATAATTTTGGACTCAAATGACTTGATGCATTAGCATCTTCGGATTCAAAACTATCTTGAAGTTTTACACAATATTGATGAAATGTTTTTAAGACGCACATCAATATAAACAAACTTCTTTTAAATTGCACTATCATTATATCTTTAAGACTTTTGAATTTGAAAATCTGAGTTTACAATCCAAACGTGCAAAAGCCTCATGAAAATTTATTCTGCGTATAATATTGTGATAACTTTGCAAGCATGAGTCGGTAATCTTTGTGTACACAATTGAAGCCGGAGAAAGCAGATCAAGTGAAGCATGTGTGATGTTTAGATTATAATTTCTTGCACATGCTTGTAAATGCTGATGTGGAGAATTTTTGTGAGAGAATGTTTGGATTACAAGCAAGGTGAGATTTACTTACGTCTAGAACCATGATGAATTTTCACAAAACCATCTAAGTTAAACCTGAGTGAAACTGAGCACAAAAGTGACTATTTAAAATCAGCATATCAATGCTCTCCCTTCGTTTACTTTTTGGCCTTCATCTGATCCTTGTCGCATGCATCATCCCTCTCACTTGTTAACCACTCGCACATTGTTTGCTTGAGCTCACAACTTGCGCTCTCGCCTACTGCTTGTTTAAGTTTGTAGTCGCAACGCTCGGCTGCTGCTATTCAGCCTCCGATGATTAAAAAAGTGATGATGCTAATGAAGATCGTTTCATCATATTGTTTTCATCAATAATCAAAAACAAAAAATTGCTCGCTGCCAACATGCATCTTGATTCATTGCGTTCCACCAAGCATAGCATACACATGATGTGCACAAAAACATTTGAAATCAAGACTACGTCAGTGAAGTAATAGTTATAGATGAGTTGGGGAACAACTTAGTTTTGATCTGACCATCGTGTTTACATTCTTCTACACTTCTTTACCTTTTTTGTTTTTATCTTGCTCTCAACTGATTTACTTGATCTAACTAGATCAAGTAAATCAATTGGTTGTCACACAGTACTTTGTCCGTATCAATTTTGCTCGACATTTAACTAAATTGATTGATAACCGCTAAAACTACAAAAAGTCAAACACGATGTAATAGCTGAAAAAATCAGAAGAGTTTTAATCACAAGGTTCCACAAACCTATGCGTTCTCAAAAAGTCAAAGTCATAAGATCAAAGTCAAATTTCACCCCAAGCTTGAATTGTAGAGGGACCGACAACACATAGTGAGTCATGTTTTCTCTCCTCCACCGATACAAAGCGCAAAAGTTTCCGTCAATTCGTCATTGACAAATCAAAATTTGAACTTTTTGATCAAAAGCTACCTTCACAAACTTTATTTAGGCAAGTCATGGTCTCCC